GTTCAGATCTACTATATGAGTAGTATGAAATACAGATGTGTAGAGTAAGGCAGCAATCAGTGCTGACCCGCAGCCCTAACGATAGTGTGCCTGGTATTGAAGTACTCTGGCTGATTTCCACTTCGGAACAAGTCGAATAAAAAAATGAATAAAACTTGGGTTCATTGCTATTCAACTGCATTTTTCGTCAGCAGTCTCATCGTTCACATCCTATAGGGGTAATGTGGAGAACCTGTTCACTTGCACACCGATCCCTTGCTCCCATAGTATTTTGTGTCATGTCCACTTATGAAAAAAAAGGATGGGTTTTGAGAAAGAATGACAGAAAAGCGGCTCCCAGCCACCATGGTTTAGCGTCATGAGTTAATTCCACATTTGATGGAACTTTCAGACTCATAAACAATAGTTTCCTAATCCGAATTGCTTGTACGTTTATGTAGGATGAGTCAAATTTGTCACTAAGCTTGTCCATACTAATTTGGTCGAGATCGACCGATCGATCGATTAGATGGGCATCGCTCATCAACACTGTCTTGGAGTTATCGGAACGTACTGACCTCATGTAAGTTCACACCATAGTTGCCTGGTCACGTCAGTTACCGTAACATACGTCTCCCGATTTGTCGTTTATTATTGAAGCGTCCTATTCGAAATCGTTCCGCCAACAATTCAGACAAGACAAATCCTAGCATATGTAAGAACGTTTGGTATGGAGGAGGTGAGGAGAGGACAAACGATGATTAATGCTCTGCAAGGTTCGGTGAGCGCTAGCACAGTCAAGATCTGCACATCATGCAGTGTCCGTCATACTGGGTTGGCAAGAATGCACACTCAACGCCATGTACCACACATAAAAGTGTCGCAAGTACGCAGAGAGCCCAGAATGTTGAGCAAACATAAGATACTGAGACCTACCTTAGGAGGTTCCAGTTCAATAACATCCTTGGTGGATTCGGGAAAGCAGATCCCTCGATAAGAGATGATCATTGGTGGACCAGAAAGTCGACACCACAACCAAGTGCGCGTAGGTTGAGATTAAGGCAAGGAGATATTCATCAGCGCCATACTTTTGCTTCTCCTCATTTCGCACAGTCACTCCGCGCCCATCCAAGACTATGCTGACGTCTATTACAGTTGCTGGGCAATCCCGAACAGCGGTTAGGTCAGGCTTGATGAAAGACGCCAAAGTAGGTTCTCTGAACTCCTCGAAGACAGTGTTTTCCAGGTGAAGAAGGTGTATCGCGAGTTTCCTTGCAACCCGATTATGATCTAGCAGGACTGCGAAATATGCATCAAACTTTCCGGTTGACCATAGTTTCTACGACAGAAGATCGTCTGGCCACCATGACTACGCCGAGTGCTTCTAACTCTCGTCCTCAGCAGGTTGCATCGGAGCTTGATACCGCGGATGAACATCCGAGGAAACATTCGTTCTGGAACTAAAGGCCATCGATTGGAAAGAGGCGAACCGACCAACTCTCGTCGTGGTTTTCTGGTTATCGATCCTTTGACCTTGTTCTATACATTATATAGTACGGAAGCATATATATGAAGATAAATTAAGCCATCGCCAGGTGACGTCGGATCCGTACGTTAAAGTGCCTTTCAAAGTTGCTGGCATGACAGCCTTCGCCTCTGGTTCTGAAATCACCAGAGCCTGTTTTGAAAAATCTATACGTACGCCAAGCAGAGTTTCCCTGAAAGGCGTGCTTTACTTTCTTTCTACGGAAGTTTACCAGTTATCTGTGCCACAGGGCAGGGTTTCAGTAGTGACCACAATTCGGTTGTAAATCCGCCGATCGAACAGCCCGGCTGTCACTAGAATCGATTACAAACAAATTATCGGATTTATTCTACCTCACCGGGGAATCCCTATGTTCAAATTACGGACAGTGTGTGAATAAACCTGACAAACCTTAGTCAGAGTTTATTGATTCACAGTGATGCAGTGGACACTGCATTCTTCCAATTGTTTACAGTAATCTCACGTCAAAAATAACATGCACTCTTTTATATCCACATCTTTTATGCGTCGACATTTTCAAACTTCAACTTACGAACGTCGCGAAATATTTCTCCTGCAAGTGGATATCTACCATAGTATGGTTTAGTGACAGAGTGGCGGTCTGTTTTTTCTTTCTTTGAACACAAGCCTCTTGGTGCTGAAGTGTATGATTCGCCATATCACAACTTTATCACGTGATCCACATCGATTGCTGACAAAAAGACCCGTTTGTATTGTTAGTAAACAGGGTCTCAACTGAATCCCTCGTTTGTGGAATTCCTCAAACGTATGTGCTGCACAAAATCAGCTTCACGTTCGTGATATCGGAGTGTTCCTTGGTGACATGACACACTACTCACAAAGGTGTTGAAAAACGCCTGGTTGATTTCAAGAAAGCAGTGAACTGGTTTTTTTTTTCTTTCTTTGAACACAAGCCTCTTGGTGCTGAAGTGTATGATTCGCCATATCACAACTTTATCACGTGATCCACATCGATTGCTGACAAAAAGACCCGTTTGTATTGTTAGTAAACAGGGTCTCAACTGAATCCCTCGTTTGTGGAATTCCTCAAACGTATGTGCTGCACAAAATCAGCTTCACGTTCGTGATATCGGAGTGTTCCTTGGTGACATGACACACTACTCACAAAGGTGTTGAAAAACGCCTGGTTGATTTCAAGAAGGCAGTGAACTGCGAGAAAATGTCACCACCCTTTACAGGTGGCTGTTACTGTTCCCTTTCCAGTTAGATTTGGCTGAATTTGAAATTGCCACTCTTTCCTCGGTATACGAAAGTACTGAAAACGGAGGGGCTTAGCACCAAATGGAGCATGTTTAATCTCCGTTCAAACACCCTGCAAAAGCGTAACGGCACCTAGACTATCTATTACCTCAAAATCTGAAGTGACCCTGTAACTAAAAACCGTGATATTCAAGGTGTTGACGAAATCACTTGCAGCTTGCGTTTAACATATTTATTGACCCCTGAACATTCTGGATGAAATTTGACGGTTCAATGAGTGGAATCATTCACAAAGTGTTTTACTGTACCTGTAACATAGCCGCGCACACAGTGGTACATGACTTTTTTTGTAAACTTTGAAATCATGAGTTTGGCTGAGCAGGTGTCTTGGCAAACAGATGTACCAGTTGAGTGATCATGCTTGTGAAGTTAAAAAAAGCGGAACTCGAAAGGTATGAGAAGGCATCGTCCAACTTGTTTGGAACCATATATGAGCGCATAGTTCACACACATGCGTTGCAAGTAATTCATTGTGGTCTAATCAATTAAAGCCGATTTTTGATGTCCCAGTCAGTCATTATCGTCGAAAGCATAACATCAGTGCTCAACACGGATGTTTGGCTAACGCACAGCAATGAATTAGTTGACAGCGTTATTGTGAGGAAGAGAATATAAGTGCACGGGGAAGGGTCTTAGTACTAGCTTACTACAATCATTTCGAGGTGAATAAGTGTCCAAACACTCATTTAGACAATCTGGATAGAAACTAACAACAAGAACGCCACTGAAATTGGTTGGCGGCCATATCTTGTAGTGTCTCCGACCAGACACAGTTAGGATCACGTGGTCCCCATTCTGGAAGGTGAGTAGCACCCACGCA